TTTTAATTGTCTATTTCTTCAATTATATGCCACTCAGCAGAGTATTAAAATTGGAATATGCACTTACGACATGCTGAGAAATGAACAAAACTATTTTTCATAGGAATATTTGGACATAATTTAACATTTCAAATGCATAATAATTGGTACCTAAATTTTTAATTTTTGTTGTAGATATATTTTGAGTAAAGTTTCAGTAATATACATTAAGGAGGAAAAAATAATTTTGTATTAAATGCAAGCGACACCATTTTTACATATTTGGAACCATTTCTGGAGAATGGCTGAGTTGAGAGATAAGAAAAACAATCTTGATTTTTAATTGTCCCGAAAGAAGACGCTGCAGTCAGCCCGTAAGATATCGAATGAAATCTGTCAGGGGTCCCAAGGCAAAGAGTTAACACAGGACCGCCGATGTTGCTAGGATTGGTAGATATTAAGCATCCATTACAATTTTACAACCTTTCAGATAGGTATTAATACACTGTATATGGATTTTTTTTTATAACAATTGATAGTGTAAATATCAAGAAATTTTGAAAAAAGATTAATATCAATAAAAAGATTGTTTATATTTCATAAAAGATCAAATAACCTGACAGTATTTGACCTTTTAAGATCTTAAGGTGATCGTGAATTTCATTTTTACTCCCCGTGGTTAATGAGTCCGGAAAAATCAGTTAACCAAAAAGGATATAAATTTTAGTCGACGACTAACATACTGAGAAAAGGATTGAATGAACTTGTCTTTTGGGTTTTTTTAATAGTATGGCCTAGTATTAGCATTATCAATTCAGCAATTTATGGTCTATAACAATGCATCATTTTGCAAATACTCAAATTAGTATTGATAACTTTATTAGATAAATGATAATAGTTATTGGTCATGGAACAGATTTGTGGGTTTTCAGTAAAAAAAAAACGTACATCATGGTAATTTATAAATTGACTTTAAATCATCACTAAATATTTTTTCTTATGAAAACTTCCAATTCTTCCCATGACCGATAACTATTAGTATCAATAGTACATGTATGTAAGCTTATTCCAAAACTTTGAATTAGTGTTTGGATTTTTTAAAGACGATTAGAAACTTGTTTAGAAATCGGAAGGTAATTAAAATTTTGAATATTGTTCATACATTACAAAGATATAAATAACGGATATTTGAAGAACGTATCGTCTGACCTTAATACGTCTTGCAATTCAAGACTGAAGAAAGTTCTACGTTTTGCAGCTACTAATACACAGATGAGACTGTTTATATTTCATTTGTTTTATTATTATTATTATTATTATTATTATTATTATTACTCGATCATTTTGACTTTAAAAATTGAAATGAACAAAGGCATGCTTATAAAATAACATAGACATAAATAACTACACCCATTAAATAATCTTCATAACTTTAATAACAGCATGCATCTGTTTCTCACTGTAAATCAGCGAGTTATTTCTCGAATAAAGATTTACTTTCATACATAAGCAAGACTCTCATACAAAACAGTCGCCCACATGGCGCAGTGGTTAGAGCGTCTGCTCTAGAATCGCGGAGTAAGTAGTTGATTCTTACGTCGCGGGTTCGAATCCCACTGTGGGACGTGGAGACCGGTCCTTCGGATAAGACCATATAAAGCGAGGTCCCGTGTCGCAGTAGGTACTGACACGACAGAGATCACTCACTGCTCAATGGCTCTGAGTGCCGAGTATAGGTCAAAATTTGTAGCTCTCCACCGACAAGTGTTGGCGTCTCCATATGAGTGAAAAATTCTCGAGAGGGACGTTAAACAACAAACAAAACAAAAAAAAACATACAATACATTTTCAATGATTCTAAGCCAATACTAGCTGTGAGCACTGTGAAGAATTTTCTTAATAAAAAATATCCGGGCATAAATTTCAAATTAACAACGGAGCCATCAGCTTCACTACAAGTATTTGAATTTGCCAAACCAACCTATTTTGTCATGAAAGGTAAAAAAAAAATCTAGAAAAAAATAACATCATATTAATAGCCATTCGTTAAGCCCACCTTTCGTAAGCAAGAGAAGAATACTCGATAAGAAAAATTAGCACTAAATTATCGATAGTGTGGGAAATCTTTCAAGATCAAAGTGTAGCAACGTGAATGTGAAAAAACACAGAGACGTAAGCATAGTCATGGACATCAATCTTACAATAAACCTAATTTACGTCATGTCTCTTTTGCATGATTCACTACTACCTTACGTAAATAATAATAGTTAGGTAAAAGGTCTACATTAAATCCGAACCAAACTTTACCCTGCCCCTTTGAAGGTTTCAAATGGTATATTTGGAAAGGCCAAGGAAAGTCCATACTTGGATTCTTCTCGAAACTAGAAGTGATAAGCTGAGATCTGTGATGAAAGATACTGCTTATCTCAGGCCTTTTAATCCGCCGTATGTTACGGGTGTTACGGAAAAGCATAATTTTAAGTAGCTCGTCTCTTCCTGAAACTAATTTGCCAACAAAAGAAATTGACAACATAAACATTAATACTATTCTTAATAATAATAAAAAAAAAAGCCCCGTCTTGTATTCCACCATATAACTTCCATTTCTTGCATTTCTTTCAAAGAATTTTCGACTATTGCTTTCAATCATTTTAATTACAAACAAACTCTACAAGGCCTAGCTATCGACCATCTGAAACAAATTCCGTCTGTGCGTGCATGTTCTTCTTCTCCCTACAAATATAGGCCTGCTGGACACGTTATTGTTGATGATGTGAATATAGTTAACAATCACTCTTTGTAAAAATGGCCAAAATTCAGGGAACCCCATTCTTTTAATTGGAGACAGAATTTCATAAATATTATGAATTCTGATGGAGGTTATGCCAGATGATGTGTTAAATATGAAGAAGAATTCCTTGATACATTATCAGAATGGAAAAAAAGTATAATGTGGATGTTAAAAACCTCGTGTAAAATGATAGAAGGGCAATATGAAGATCATCTATCCTTTGGTATACAATAATGCAGATGTACCTTAAGCATAAACTAGACTACATGAACAATATGTACTAGTCCCAGCTGACAAACCAGGTAACAACATGATCTTTGTTTGTAAGTACATTTCAATATTCCTAACAACCAGATTGATTTTGAATTACCATACCTACATTGAATTCTAAAACTTCACAAAAAATCCTTGCAAAGACAAAAAGCGGGATCAAACAAATGTTCTACCAAGGCGTGTCTTTATATCTTTACTCTTCACAAAAACTGGGAAACAACATATTCAAAGGTGGTGTTAATCAAATGTTGATACTGTAAAACTCCAAAGAACTTTTTTAAAATATTGAAATCACAAAATTTTACCAAAAACAAAAGCATCAAAACGTATGACTTTTAAAACTGTAAAACCATTTCCAGCGATAAATAAAGACCAGGCTTCTTGACATAATAGACAACTGTTTTTTTAATGAGAACTGTACTCGCAAAAATTTCCTATTATATCATTGATCGATGGTCATCTACACACTTACTTTGTTAAAAACAATTCTGATTCTACAAACAAGTACTCTGAAGCAAGTAGATTAGAAACTCAATGAGAAACTCAAGCATATTAAAAAGATGCTTAAGTAATTTCTCATTGACAATAATACTCTTGGAGACCAGGTTTTCCAGGATTTTTTTTTTTTTTTTTTTTTTTTTTGAATTTCCATTGGCACTAAATGAACCCCATTATTAACGGACCTGTTTTGTGTTCTTTTGAAGCGGCATTTATTCAAAACTTGTACATGAAAAGAAGAGATCTCTTGCCGTGGCCTTCAATTCGGCATTTAGATAAATTGATGACGTTTTATGTTAACAATATTTATTTTCATTCATACATTAATTCGATATACCCCATTCAATCCGAAATAAATGGCACCACGGAATCTGACACATCTGCTTCATAATTTGATATTTTACTACATAAAGCCACTGATGGCAAACTAACAACAAAACTTAATGATAAACGTGATGACGTCAATTTTTCTGCCTTCAACTTCCCTTATTTATGTAGCAATATACAATTATCACCTGCCTATTGGGTTTATATCTCACAGTTAATTCGATACAAAAGAGCGTGTTCTTCGTACGAACAATTTCTAAAACGAGAAAGGCTGCTGACCTGATACAAAGGTATCTACAATCACGTTTGAAGTCAACATTTTACAAATTCTTTGGTCGATAAAAATGACCACTTTTGCAAATACAATCTGTCGTTAAGTCGAATGTTGACTAACGTTTTTCATACAAATTGTTAGGTCTTATTTTCATACTGAATAAACTACAAATACAGGTATCTCCGTTTACCCGATCATGACAAAGAGCACATGGCGGATGTGACCGGTCAACAGAGGATACTTACTCCTCCATGGCACCTGATCCCACCTCAGATTCTAATGTTTTCAGGGGTCCGTGTTTTTATCCACAATTTCAATTGTTTCATTGGAGTTTTTGGGTATAAATATTGGTTGTTATCTCCATTATGGACCTGTTTACCCATATTGTTGTCTCTCAGTATATTTATTAGATTTGTCAATGAGATTTGGCATTTTTCAGTAAGATTTCATTTTCCATCGATTTTAAATATATCAGTAGAGAAAAAAGTATACATTTCTGATTACTATTTCTGTCCTTTTTTTAAACCTCCGCGTTTTGGCAACCCAGTATCACTGAAGTGTTTGAAAAATTTCTCTTTTTAGCGATGAAAAAGCGTCAAACGTAGACAAATCATAACAAAAACTGCTAAAATCCAAACGAACGGATTTCCGTTTTTTTTTATCATAATAGCAAAACGTGAGACGTATTTTGGACTTCAAAATCCGTACAAAATACGGCGAAATCGTAAGAGTAAACAGGTCTGTCCATATTTCACAACGTACATTAAAAAAAAATCATAAAATACAACTTTATGTTTTCGTTAAAACTTGTAAATCAATACAACATGCATCTTATTATAAATTCTGTTATTATTTCAGAATAAGAGTGACCTACAAGGTGTTCTGTTCAGAGGGCTACTATGGACCCGGATGTAGGTATCATTGTCCTGGCAACCCACAAAAGTGTGTCATCTACAGACAGACATACTGTAAAACGGGTAAGACCTTACAAATATAATGCTGCAATTGCGAGGGAAGTGATTTAATTGTGAATGAGGGATGTATTTAAAATGTAATTAACAGGAAATTAAAAAACTTACATTTTAATACGCCCTGGCTTACGCTGCTATAAAAGTAGGGAGGAGAGAAAATCAATTCAGAAAATTAAACATGTTCCTCAAATTCTTGTTTTCAATCATAAATGGACTCTAACTGGGAAAGTGCGCAATAAAAATATCTTTAAATGATTCTGTTTAATGCAAAAGGGAATCGAATTCAGAAAGCAGGCAAGAGAATGAGATAAATTAAACTGTAAGCAGAAAAAAAATCTAGAAAAAATACTGAATGAACACTACAGTGAAAAAGAAAAATATATAAGATAATATGAGGAAAAAAAGGAGACGACAATCCTTGATGAATGTGTGCAAGTGCGATAAGAAGAAAGGGCGAACAAAGTACATATACTGGGCAAATCGACGAACAGGGTATGCCGGATGTACATTTTGACATCGTTGCTTCATACGTTTTTAAGTTTTTGTCATTTGCCATATGAAACAAAAGAATGAAAAAAATGACAAATAAAAAATAAACCTGAATATTAAAAAATGCGGCAGAAAACTACAAGACAAGAAAGCCATACATTTTCCCCCAGTAAAGTCCATGTCACACTGTCACTATTTATAGCCACACAATTCATTTCAAATTCAAAAATCGCAGCAAATCGGGATTTATCGTAGAGGTAGTCGTAGGATATCTTCCTTAATCGTGTTGAATCGCAGCAAATCGCAAAACTCGGCTATTGTTTTGAGCATGTTTAAAACAATCGTGGACACATCACGATTTTTTAAGTATTTGTAGACAATCGCACAACACCCGCACTGCACTCGTACATAAATTCGTAGTAAATCTTCGACATTCGTGGAACTTCGTAGTACTCGCGACAAGGGAGTGTCCTTCGAGTTACTGCGAGTGTCCAAGTTATTGCGAGTGTCCTACGAGATACTGCAAGTGTTCTTCGAATTGATAGGAAAATAGTACGACTTTCCCGTGAATATGTTACGAAAAAGGACGAATGATGGCAAGTGCTGTACGAGTACTGTGCGATTGAACTACCAGTTAATACGATGTAGGCAGACGTTGTCTAATGTTAACACTGTCGAAGACAAAATACCACATGAAATAAAAGGAAACAAGGCTAAAAAAAGTGAAATAAACTGAAAATGCATGTGTCACAGAAAGTATAAAGTGTGTCCAATAAATTCATGAAGAGATTGAACATAATCAAAGTCTCCACACTGTAGCTTTTACCCTGATCAATTACCTTTACTATGATGTTTAATAATTTCAAACAATTCTCCCTTTCTTCTATATGCATTTCATTACAAGTATATTCGTAAGAAATCATCATAAATCGTATGATTATGGTGCGTGTATCGTGCCATATCGTAGTCCTTCCTACGAGTATCATATATAACCGCGTTTAATCCTTCATATATAATCGTGGAAATATCGTAGCCAGTTCGTATTACTGTCGTCTCATTTCGTATTTAAATCGTACAAACTTGGTACTTTGTCGCACAGACATCGTTGACACACTGTTCTGGCAACAAAAAATTCCACACGCTATGGAAAAATCGCAAGACTTACCTGGCGATTAAGGGTGATTTTCAACTTTTTTTAATTCGTAGGTAATCGTAGCATAAATCGTGATAGTGTGACATGGCCTTTAAGCCGGACTTGTAAATAAAACAACCGAAACAAAATTTTTATTATTTACAGGATGGCATGGCGTCAACTGTGATGAAGACTTCAATGAATGCGATACAGCTGATTTTTGTAGTCATGGCAACTGTACAAACACTATTGGTGGCTTCCAGTGTACCTGTCCCATCTCCTCTTCCGGTCTGAGATGCCGGTACGATGGGGATGAATGCGTAATGGAACCCTGTAATGGCGGGGAGTGTGTCAATCAAGTGAGAGGTTACAAGTGCCTCTGTAGGAATGGAACCATGGGTAGAAACTGTGAGAATCTCACGGACACCCAATGCTTAAAAAACACGTGTAACAATCATGGATCTTGCAGCGAACAAGACGGAAAAGCTGTGTGTTCTTGTAACCCTGGATACACAGGAGCTGACTGCTCCGTCAAAGACTTCTGTTTCAACAATCTTTGTCAACACGATTCTACTTGTGTTAATGGCAAAACAAATTATACATGCTACTGTCCAAAAGGCCTCATGGGTCAATATTGTAAAACTGTGGACCACTGCGCCAGCAACCCTTGTCTCAATTCAGGAATCTGTACAAACACACCAACAAAGTATCATTGCGAGTGTGTTGATTATTTTTTCGGGACAACTTGTAGTGAGTACAACTACTGTGGCGGGAACTGTAGTGGCAATGGTATTTGTCACGTGATTGGGAAGGGTCATAATTGTACATGTTACCCTGGATTTAGAGGTAAGAACTGTGAATACCGGGATTACTGCGTTAACATTTCCTGTTCTAATCACGGTGATTGTTACAGTGCGAGCAATGGTTTCAATTGTTATTGTAATAGAGGGTTTGGAGGCAAAACATGTAATCTGACAAAATTTTGTAAATATAATTCCTGTTCCAGACCTTTTATTTGTAACGACTTTAACAACAATAGTTTTACTTGTGAGTGTCCAGCTGGCCTGTATGGAAGCTCATGTCAGTACGTTGACCATTGTCTCAAGAACCCATGTGGAACAAACGGAAGGTGTTTGTCTCTAAATGACACGTATCAGTGTATATGTAATTCCGGTTGGACGGGATTCAACTGCTCAGAGGCAGATTTGTGCAGCCCAAACCCGTGTAAAAATAATGGAAGCTGCTCTTCATCCAACAATTATACGTGTTCATGTCAAACTGGATGGGTAGGCAGCGATTGTGGTATCCATGATCCTTGCGAGAACCACATTTGTATAAACGGCGAAAAATGTTCAGTAGAAATTGAGCAAAAGGTTCAAGTTCATACAGGTTCTGATCCGTTCTCGTTAATAACACCATCAACAACTATTGTAGAGGTAGCGATTGCTAAATGTCAATGTTCTGGATTGAACTGCTCAAGGAAAGATTATTGTGTCTCGATCCCGTGCATGAATAACGGAACATGTACAAATACAAATACAACGTTTCTTTGTTCCTGTTCGAAAAACTGGCATGGAAAAAGTTGTAACTTTTACGATTTCTGCAGTTCATCGCCATGCTCAAATGGTGGAGTATGTCGTCATAACTCTGAAAATGATGACTTTTCGTGCGAGTGTACGAATGGATGGGTTGGCAAAACATGCGAAAGTCGCGATGCTTGTCTTATGGCCCCGTGTGTCAACAATGGTATTTGTGCCAACGTCAACAAGTCATACTTATGTACCTGTCCTTCAGAGTGGACCGGTAAAAATTGTCAGTACTACAATTACTGCACTCAGCATCCATGTGGGGACAACTCAACCTGTGTCAGCCATGACAATTCGTATTCTTGTAAATGTGAGCCTGGATACATGGGACAGCATTGTGACGTTATTGACCGATGCCATTCTCATCCTTGTCTCCACAACGGCACGTGCATCTTGGAGCCGTACGGCTATCGCTGTCACTGTCAAGGAGGGTACACTGGGGACCATTGTGAACGAGATTTGGATGAATGTACGTTTGATCTTTGTCCTGCCAAATCAACATGCTACAATAAAGATGGTGGCTATGAGTGTATCTGGAATAGAAGTCGGCGGCGAAGAATTCCGCTTGGTAAGGGAATTTTACTGGATTTTGTTTTCTATCAAATTTCTGAATTGTTTGATACATTGTCTTTAGTAAGATTTTTGTTTCGAGAGATATTGAAAATAATTAAGTATATGCATCAAGACAATTCCTGCCAGTGCTTGAATGTAAATACTTCAACAATGAAGTCTATATTTTTTTTTAGATTTGGGGAATACATATACCGTAAATCTTTCTGTCAACATTTTTCCTTTTGATCTTGAGAGAGTTGTAGCAGATTTCCATTCCACATTAACGCAAGAATTATGCTCATTCTCTCAGTATACCGTCTTCAAACCAATAAAAATAGAATTTCTTTCAAGGTAAGGAACGCATTGAATTTAACTGAATAATAAAAAGTTTCGTAAATATATGGTATGTGAATACGTCAACACACGTAATGTTATATTCTTACGCTCCCTATACCTTTTTGCAATACAGAATTGTAAGTCAGAATTCAAATGCTTTTAACAGAATTGGTTTTTGCACTATAATTAATTGAATTTGTATACTTTTTTCAGTGCGAATCCACAAATCATATTTCACTATTACGCTTCATGTCAGGGAAATATAAAACACGATGGGATCCGCGAATCAGAGGAAAAACCGTGACAACACTCAATGGTTTCCTATCATAAATATGTGCCAAGAAGAAATCAAAGTTTGGGGACACAAAACTGTAAATTTGCAACATTCGTTTTGTATTTTATTGAGAAAGTGCAAAATGATTTCAGTTAAACATTGCCAAAATCTGCAAATCTTTCGACGTACATATTTGCTGTATCTCCAATATGTTTGAAGAAACTTCATATTTATAATTGTTAGTTTTGTCCCTTTACCTGTCATTGGAACTCCTGTTACCTTTTAGAAAATTGATTTAAAATATTTCCATTGGTCTTTCTTTCAATCTTTACCGAAACATGTAGTCAAAAATTTCTTTGTGTATGCGCAATGGTTTTTATAATGCTAAATTTATGAGGAAGATAGTGGCTTTGTAAATTATAATCTTTAATTCACAATAAAACAAGGGTAACCATATACTAGTATTCAAAATGATTGTTTATTATTAACTCATTTAGCTTTTATTTCCCTCAAGATTAGTTTTGAATTCTCTAAATAATACTAGTTTCTTTTCCTTTGCCTATTTAGTAATACATGTAGTTTCAGTTATTATACTTATGGTTAAATCAGGGTTTGTACCAAGGGATAAAAAAATAAAATTGCATTAGAAGAAAAGGTATAAGTACTAAAAACATTAATTTATAAATAAATACAAATATAAATTTATGAATAAATACATATAAATTTTGGCAAAACACAAATATTATACAATATTTAAATTTGTCCGATGTATAAATTATGCTTCTTAGAATCATCAGCGTTTCTGTATAAGGCAAAACCGCTCTCTACAAATGAAATAAACACTTCTGAGTAAAGAATGCAGCCCTCTCCTTTTTCTCCTCTTTATCAAAATAAAGTTGGCTTTGTCCTTCAGCTGTACTATTAAGCCAGTAACAATTAAGCTTTAAGAAAATTGATATTTATTTTAAAATTACTATTTATATTTAAAATTAAGATTTACAACGTTTTGCATATATTGTCTTTAAGGAGAAATTCACAGTGAATAAACTTTTGTTAAAGCTTTCTATGTACAATTTAGCATGTACATTTCTGTTTTATTATATTACATACCGATCTTTGAAGTCTACAAGAGATTTGATAAACTCAAGTTCTTTTGCAGAATTATCATGGATAAAATCTTTTATTTTCTTATGCTGTTCTAAACCTGTCTCAAGCCACAGTTTGCTAAAACAAAAAAGAAAATGATTTATTCTCTAAGTTAAAGCCAAATGTTTCACGTTTTACATGTATGCTGGAAGATTTTTAGATTTGTTCTTGGGGGTTCTTTTATCAAAGTTCTTACCCCTCCTTTTTCAGTAACATGGGGGCCACTGATATCAAACGCCTCACAAAATCTAAACCATCTTGGCCACCATCTAATGCTTGTCTGTCTTCATATCTGAAGTGCATAATAATAATGTAATTATTTTATGTAGAGGCACATCAGAAATTTTAACATTCAATGCGTATAAAATATTGCAAAATGTTAGGGTTAAATACTTGCTTCTTCAGATCAATCATTCATTACTTTACAGTACTCGATGACAAAGTATGACTTGACTTATTAAGGTCTTCCGTTCCAACGGAAGACCTTCTACTGATTCTGATGGTTAAGATTATTCTTATTATTCTTTTTTTTTTTTCCTAGACGCCAACTTTGAGACCTCATATCTTGCTCATTTCTCAACGGATTTTGCTCAAATTTGCAGGGTTTAAAGACGTTACAAAATTCTATCAGAATGTTGTCAAACATTTCAAAAACCCACTTCTGCTTTTGGGTTATCTCCCTTTAAATGAAAATTTAGGAGGCTTCATTTCCAGACAAAGGCTCAGAGACTACTGAAGCTGGAGTAGAAATTCTACCGAATTTAAATAATAGAAGCACTGAAGTTGTGCACATCAGTTTTTGTTTTTCAATTTCTGTATTCAAAATGGCGCTAGAGAGGGGTCAAAAATTAGAACGCCAAAAAGAGCGAAAATTTACACATATTTTCCTTTTTATCTTCTAAACTAAAAATATTTTGATAAAACATGTAGAATAAAAGTTGTGCACAATTTTAAGGCCTTTCATTTGAGACCACTAAAAAGGGTCTGGCCCCTAAAATTAGGGATCTGGGGCCCTTTAAAGTTTTTGCTTTATAACTCAAAAACGGTAAATATTTCGAAATAGCTGCCGTAATTAAAGTTGTTATTTAACATCTTATTGATCTCAAGAAAATGTTATTTTGTTTGAGTCTTGTGTTCTAAATGAGCCAGAAGCATAACACATATACAGGTAAGTGTTTTCATTCAGCAAGTAAACAAGAGCTCTTCATGCGTGTAATTAAAATAAACTTACTATAAATAATAAACCTTGCTATATTAGATGCTAATATTCTTTAGAATCAGGTTTTTGAAGTATTTTGTGCTTTATTTCCAAATTATTTACTGACAATTTTCCCTTTTATTTCGTTTGTTTTCAAATTTGGATAAACCAGTCTACTACACAGGGAAAAAAAGATAACCTTTTCTTCTTATCATATAAAAACAAACAATAAAGTTAGAAAATAAAACAAAACTTTAAACATAGACTATTCACAGCCATTAAGTACACGCCTTTTACATTCACCTCGTGTGTTTACAATTATGTAACCCCTCCCTCGATAGCGCGTGGCAAAGGAGGTCACCGAGGATCAATCGGCGTGTGAACCAGCGACCTAAGGTCATACACAAAACAAACCATAGAATGGCCATTCCAAATACATTTTAACTAAGTGATGAGTGGATAAATATGTTGAATCTTTCAGATTATTTCATATCTTTGATTAAGTCGCTAGTACATTTCAATTTATATTTTATTCGCTCAATTACAAGAAAGTTGCATATTTATTCTTATAAACATTGCATTGCTTAGATAATTGCGCTTTGTGGAAAATTACTTTAAAATCATTTCGAATCTTTCATATGATTCCGTCTTACTGTTTAATTATCACTCGCTCGTTTTAATCAGCTAGTCTTAACTGCCTTTCACTTATTCACTTCAAATTCAATGCATTTTGAATGCCGAAAAGACCACTTTCTTTGCGTATTAAAGAAACAGTTTATTTATCTCTCTTATGTTATTATTTAACGAGTTGCTATTTCTTTCATGAACATTAAACAGGATGTATATAATTAAAAACGATAATTGTATGTAGAGGTCACATTTTTAATTGTCAGGAAAATCGAAAATAAAATTAAGTACTTTTGAGTTTGTATTATTTTCTTCCTAACTTACAATATTATTGCATACAAAATACTAGGTCGGACGCATGTAACTTAACCGCCTCAATATTTCACTTGTATTTGAAAATTCTATCGAGCGTCGAATGAATTTTACCCTTTAAAAAGTGTACCAAAAAAAAAACCTTCCTATGCAGTTTTCTTTGGGAATCAATTGGCTTCGATAGTCTACTCCGACATGTGTTGACAAAACTCACGCAATGAGAAGCCATACATTTCAAACTTGTGACCTCTTGGTCAGTGCATGTGAAGATTACGCATGGCAATTAGTGTCTGGAAAACGAAGTATGTTTTATAAGTGATTTGACAGGTTAAGATTTGTTCTCATTCCAAATTAAATACAAACACAAACCCTTTATTTTCTTTGTTATTTTATACCGTCAGTTATATCAGATAGATTGTTTTAAAAACGTGTTGTTTAGGAAGATTAATCTTATGCATTTGTTTTATTTCATCTAATAAATTGAATTTACCCATGACACAAATTATTGATACATGCATGTAAGTACGCGTAAATGCAATTTAATTTGTTTATGCGGAAGAGCGCCCAAAATAAATACACTTCGAACTCTGGAATTTCCCTATTTTACTGTTTAAATCATAGGTCCACTCAGCTGACGAGTTGTTTTAATAACGGTAATAAATTATATTCAAGTCCTGGCCAGCGATCGTTACGGTTGGTGACATTGCAATTAAACTGGTCGATACTAAGGTACTAAGATACTAATGGGTGTATATATTTTCACCTAATATGTTTTCATCGAGTGTTTTCATAAGAAGTAAATTGCTGGAGGATATCATGTTCTCCCTGATCACATCGATAGCGTGTAGAAACAGCGGTATATGAACACACGCTTTTGTGTACAAAGCAAACGTGTAAACCAAAAGGATGGGAAAAAAACGACGGAATAAAAACATTTCTCTATGATTATCCGCCAGAGAACTTGTGAAAATTATACCCAAATACAATGTAACGAAGGATTTTGGGTTTAATCCCGAGTACACAATTATAGCAATGATGTGTACATGTACATGCAGAATACCTCTTTTTTTATCCTTCGTCCATGTGTTCCTCCTTAACGGACAAAATTATCAGTAAATTATATTATACCGAATGAGGTTGAAAAATGCCGAACTTTATTTCTTAAAATTAACAGCAATTATCCGACTTTTCTCATATCACTGTAAAAATGCCGTAAAAACTAAAACCGTCTGATTTGACTTTGTCAACGCGTTTTAGATCGGGTTTGAGATTTTTATTAAATGTCTGGAGTATTTCGCTTATTCTGCAAGTCCGTATAATGAAAGAAAACACTGACAGATTTAGAGGAGGTTCAGGGGCCTGCCCCCCACTGGCGGATTTAAGTGGGGCTTGGGGGCGCACCCCCCCCCCCCTAAAATTTTCAAAATATGACATGACTAATATTAATAATGCCATACTTTTTTATAATTAATGGTCAATTAAAAAATGGTAATTTTATTTTATGACCAAGTATCGGTTTTCTTAAAAATCAAGTCTGAAAACCTTGCATTCCCTAGGCTATGAATATTATCTCATAATTATTCAAAGCGGAAAACGTCTCCCGATTTCGTTTGAAGGGTAGACAGCACTTGTCAATTTCCTATGATGGTGCAAAGAAAAATACTGCAATATTGAAAGGCTGGTCGAAGGTAAATAACATTCGGCAAACCTCGGCTGATTCCGTCACCTTCATCCAAATGAGGTACGAATCGGCCGAGGTGTGCCGAGTGAGGTAAATAAATGAATTTAAAATCATCAGGTCTACGTTACAAACCTATCCACTGATTGATGTATTTATTTATCAAATGGTGTAACTATGCAGTAATTTACTTACATAGATACAAGACTTTTTTTAACGTCAGGATATAGGTTAGGATGGTCACAGACGAGTGTAACTTCGACCACCTGGTTAATTTCGACTGTTCATAAATAGCTTAAAATAATTTGTTTATAACCCATTATAGTGTACACACATCTATTTTATGCAGAAAGAAAATGCATTTTTCATATACAAATCAATGTTGATAATAATAGGCGAAGTTTATTTCTTTACCGGAAAATTACATCCAAGAAGAAACTTTATCGCCCGAAAAATTACGGACGAGTATTTTTAAACCATTGCGGGGAATTATCAGTTTATCACCTCTAAAAATATCTTGTATATGCAGAAAGACACAGTGTATATTCCTGGCGTGAAATTTATCAACTATGTTTAAATTTGCAATTTAAATTCATACCTTTTAAATTTATAGTATTTAGTTTTTACAAATAAAATGCAAATCAGCTGAACAGAAATCGGCCGAAGTTACCCTTTGCATGAATACGGCGTCAGCAGGTAACTCAGTTCGACCAATGAAAATGACGCAATGCTATTTGTTACCAGAAAAAAATCATGACCACCATCCGTATAAAAAACTTAAAAAGTATTAGGATAAGTATTATTTACAAGAATACTCCGTAGAAACTAGTTCTATAACCGTGAAAAAATCATCTGTTTTGTTTACATGCGGTTTAGATGCCTGCGCATATATATATATATTTGTAGCATGCCTTGACAAATCGGTAAATTAGTCTCTAGGCAGCTGGTGCACTTAATGTCTTCAAATTAGGTACATTTTGAAAATTGCTTTTTTTTCTTTTTGTCAGCATTTTTTCACAATCTTTTATGTTTTACAACAGAATAATTTAAATTAATATATATGTATTTTTTTAAATTAGAGATGACGCGAATAATTTCATTTATATTTGCACATCGATCGAAAATACCCCGTGTGCAGTTGAAGTTACCCAACACACAAATCTTGTAAATCGAACACATTTATTTTATATCATGACGAATAATACATATAACACAATGTAATCTGAACAATAAAAGGTATTCCGAAGGAAAAATAATCCAGTAAATGTTGAGCGTAATACATGTAATAGGCAGTGACATACTTGAACAAATCTAAATATAAAAAAATAATCAGTCGAAATTACACCACCCTACCCTACAGTGTATCTGTCATATATGTATAATACTTATAAAAACAAACGGTGCAATATTTATTTTTCAATATTCAGATATTCTTTGTGTATCATTGTGCTTCGTTTATTTCATACTGCTATAAAGG